GTGGCAGTCGCGTCATTCAGATCGATAAATATAGATTTATTAAATCTTACACCCGTAACTCAAAGACAAGATGGCGTTGCAATAGAAAAAACATGGGTTGTTACGCTTCGGTTATGACAGTTGACGACATAATTTTTAAGCACAATAATAAACATAATCATTAGTGTTCACCGTCATCAGTCCCGTAAATGGTCCACTGCTGGACTTAATGCGTTGTCGTGGTGATTTCTTATATTTACGCAAACACTACACATTTAAATAAAACTACTTTTACGGATTTTTCGGTCAGTCCCCCCCCCCCCCCCCCACGTGCCCATGGGTGCTGTAAAAAGTACTCGAATATAAAATAAGTTAATATACGCGATAAAATCCGTAAAACTAGTTTTATTTAAATGCGTTGTCATGGATTTGGCTATATTGTTTGGATAGACAAATTGTGTATGAAAATTATATTTTTGTGTTAATTATTGGGGTGACTAACAAACCGACAATGCAATTGATTGTATGGATAGAGTACAAAATGAACGTTACTACTACCGCTACGTTATTATTTTTGAGTATTAAGATGGAAAAGAGTTACTGGAAGCGATAGTATCCCAATGGTTAAGGACTACGGACTGCAAATTCGGAATTCTTGGGTGCGAATCCGCCATTCGTTTGCTCTAGTGAAGCACTCCTAACACAAACATTTTAATATAGCTCGGAGTGGTTAACGAAAGTATCAGTAATGTTACCAGGGTAACTGGTATTTAAAAAAAAGAAAAATAGTATAATAAAGTAGTCGTTGGATGCAGGTGGCTCAGAATCGTACTTCGTGGCAATATATGGCTGAGGCCTATGTTCAGCAGTGGACTTATGAAGAACAGTAATGATAATCATGATGATGAAGATGAGACTCACAACCGGCATTTATTCTGGTTCACTTACCTTTAAAACTGGAACTCAAAATGTAGTTTATTCTACTACATACACATTTTACATTTCCGTAATTCCATATTTGTCGTGGGATACGGTAAGAAAATCTATCATCGGATATCGTCAAGTGGGTTTTGAAAGAGGCGACTGTGTGAGAAACACGAACGAGTTTTATGACCTCCTTAGAAGGTGGTATAGCCATCCCAAACATAATGTTGTCTTTACAACCCTTCACCAGCATATTGCTGTACACAGACACATCACGGTCTCGAACCGCTCGCACTGATCGACTTCTTGCATGTCTTATCAAGTAGCTACTCCACCAAACACAACAACACTTCGCTAAACAGTACAATGCTACACTAGAGTGTTCTTCTTCATCAGTTGTCGGTTTGTCGAGATATATGACCGACCTATTGTCACTTCAGCTTACTGCTCTTTGGGTTATGTAGTTCTCCTGTGGGTATCAGCGTTGCGAATACAATCACGCAGAGAAATTCCCAGCATAGCCCTCATATCTCGCTGAGTGAGCTTAAGCTTTGCGGCTCTACTCATAGCTCTCACCACACTACCAAAGGCATAAAGTTCGCCTTTGTACCAAATTGTTTTGAGTACAATAAAGAATTTTCTATCTATCTGTCTAAGCTTTCCAATATATATATATATATATATATATATATAGCTCAGTAAGTAATGACATTAAGTACACGGTATGCTAATGTTTTAGAATCCTTATGATACAGGCAAATTTTTTGGTTGGTTGGCCACACAGATCCTATACGTTTTTGTTTTCACCACAGGTGTTCAAACTTAACAGTTAAATAAAGTAAAATATTTAAACTTAAGTTTAGTGCCGCCTTGTAAAATACTACCCATAGTAGTTGAAAACTTTTAAGGGTAATTTAGAAACATCATTATTAGGTAACACATTAAAAGAAAAAAATCCGATCTAGGCATTAAACTGCGGACGTGATGACCACAAATGTGAGCAGAAGTACGAATTTTCGGAATTTTATAAAACATGGCGTAGACCGCGAACCGTTCGGGATAGAATTTTTTTTAGGGAACCTTGGCCACCACCCCCCGCCTAGGATTACCAGATGAAAAAAGTAAAAGTCCGGAGAAAAGGCCTGATTTCCATTTAAAAATCCTGAGATTTTTTACAGTTTTAGAAGAAAACCTTACTTAAAAAGGTATCTTCACATATTAAGTATGATAAAACTGTTTAAGTAACTACTTGGATAAATAAGTTTTGATTTTAATTGTGCAATTATTACCAAAGGAAGATTATTTTTAGTTTGCTTAACTTTTTATTAAAGAGATCTTTAAAATGTAAGCTGTATTGTATTGAAAGTTCTAAAAATCCTGAGATATCATGAGATTTGCAAAATCCAGACGCAATCCTGAGAAGAGTCTAAAAGTCCTGAAATCTCAGGACAAATCCTGAGATATGGTAACCCTACCCCCGCCCGATCACGTACGTGCTAGATTATCCACCATTACTGGGACAACCTGTATATATATATACATATGTCTACCAGTTGACTATTACGGGTTCATAAATAAAGGATAGAAGCAAGATTCGATATACTTGAATTTTAATATTAATATAGACACTTGACATATTGGAGTTATATATTTAACTTTTGATAGGGACGTTGACACGGAATTTAGTGTTCAAAACACTATTTAAATTTTATTTTATTTTTATAAAATTGAAGTGACAAATGCACTCACAGTTTACCTGATAGTAAGTGGCTACTGCAGCAGCCAAATTCAAACAAAAAAGACTACAGATATGTTGTCACTCTTTAAGGCCTAAGATTGAATGTCTCACAGTCAGTAATTAATTATACGGATATAACACTTACAGGACTTCGGGGGATGGATTTTCTCTTATGAGGATGATACCGCTATTGTCTTTGCTAGTAAAACTTGGGATTCCGTACACCATCTGGCTGCAAAGGGCTTAGCTCGTGTGTCGAAACGGCTGACAAGGGATAATCTTTTAACTTTAAATATCCAAAAAACGAAATATATCTGTTTTGCTCCCTATAAATCGTCGCAACCAGGACATAATTTATGTATTGAAATCCACAGCTACCCAAATCTTGAAAATACCTCGTGTGCATTCGTGTGAGTGTCTGCTTATAAGGTGAACGAAACTAAACACTTCGGCATCATCTTCGATCTTAATTGGCACTCGCAGTTGGAAGCTGTTATAAATCGGATCAAAAAGTTAATCTGGGTATTTAAATCATTAAGGTCAGCAATGTCTAGCACTCTGTTAAATAAAATTTACATAGAATCGATAATTTCCTATTGCATCCCAATCTGGGGAGGAGCCACCAAGACCAACTTTTTAGACCTGAAAAAAGTACAGAGGTCTCTTATAAAGGTCATGTATTTCAAACCTTATGGATTCTCTACTAACACTATATCAGATTAGTAAAATTCTCTCAGTTAGAAAGCTTTATGTTCTTAACCTCATTCTAGAATGTCATAAATCCCTACCGCTTAATGAATCTCTTCAAAAAAAAAACGAGAAGAACCGATATTGTAGCCCCTATACTTTTTGTACATACTGTCTTTGCTATTAGACAGTACCCATGCCATCCTGATTTTATATATAATAAATGAAATAAAATACTTAAAATATGTCTTATGCAATTAAATATATGCAAAACAACTTTAATGCATTGGTTGTATACAGTGAATTTGACGAGGGTGAAAATCTTTTAAATAGGGTTGTCTGAAATCTATCTCACCAACATCTTATATTTACAGGTAACAGTCTAATAGTATGCCGTCTTTCATATTTGATCAGCAAAATTTTATTTTGCAAGTCAACTAAGTCAACAACCCTACTATACTCACATTCACACACTCCTTATATATATATATACACGTACTAATCACAAATGACGGCTCCGTGGCGCAATCAGTTGCTTCGCTGGGGGGGCGCGGGTTCGAGTCCCGCACGGAACAAGTATTTGTATGGCTTACAAATAATTGTTCCGGGTCTGGATGTTTGTCCTTGTGAAATTTGTGTTTGTAAACTGCCTCCACGTTACAGGAGAAAATAGTAGTGTGTAATATTGTTTTTTAAACCAATGTTTAAAAAAAATTAACAAATTCTCTAGATGTTAAACTTCTTGTAATCTTACTTTTTGTAAGCCTTAAGGGAAGTAGCGGGTCATTCTCAACACGAGTATCCTCTGACTACTCACTGGGAAGTCTCAGTAATATGTTTCTAACAAGATTACCGAAGTAAACCCATTATTTATTTATTTAAAAATATAAATTATTGATATTTTTAATCTAAATATTTAATTTGGGTCTTATGAACTGAGACTTTGACTTCGTATGGTTGATCGCGTCAAGGTAGTTTAAATTTTATTTTGTTAATGAAAGCTTAATGCAGTAATGCTTTGAGACTTCAAATTGTTATAATAAATTTTCGTTGATAATGTTTAATGTTTTTGTTTTTCGAACGGATTCTGACATCTTGTTCAAATAGTTATTTAAAACTATTGTAAGGTTACTACTAATATTAAAAAAAAATATTTGTTAAAATTTTACAAAAACTTTGAAATTGATATAAATATACATGTTCTTGTTTTAGTGGCATTTTACTACAATAAAGATGGAAAGCGCATAGCAGTTATTGACGGATACACTTTCTACTCATCTGATAAATACGCCTCCGCGCGCGGCGGGATGTGGAGGTGTACCAAAGGGTATCCATGTAAAGCCCGTTTCAAGGCATTGTATTCTGGAGAAATGTTAAGAGTCACGTCGCTGGAACATTCGCACGATCCGCCGACCATAGCAATCCACAACGGAATTTTAGTCAGAGTGTCGAGGAAGTCCTTTTTATCATAATTCTTTGAAAAACTCATAATTAATAATATAATCAGAGCGTTAATATTTTGAAAATAAAGACAACGTTGTTTGGTTTTCCTTCTTGTGTCTTTGCTGTAAAATACTACTATTAATTTCAAAACCACTACTGATAATATTTTAGAATCCACTCAATTTTGTAGCTTCAACGGTAAATTAATTAATTTTTTTTATGTTAGTAGTTGAAAATATTATTTATTTTAATAAAATTCGTCAAGCACAACCAAAAAATCATATCTCAAGTTCTTAAATCTTGTATGAATGTAATGTAAATATTATATTTTGTGCATAATGTTGTTACTTTATTTTTGTGATTTACAAATGGACCAAAACGATTTTAAATGTAGCGCTTATGTTAAAACGTTATAAAAACCATCACCACTGAGACCAAATGTATTTCAGTAATATAAGGGTTTTCAAACGTCAAACTTTTCTCAAAACAATTTTATCCAAAAATAAAATATTGCACGTGAAAATGAAGTCTCTTATTTTCTAAATATTGTGTTCTGTCATATAATCAAGATTTTTTTTATATTTCATTAATTATCTACGTACTTTTTTATGTTGGTAATCATAATTAACCGACATTAAATACGTTTAAATTTTATCTAAGCATTGAGAGTTATTTTTTTATTGATTTTTAAACTTCTCAGTTGTTTTCGTCCGTAACAAGACTGGTAAGCAGCTGTCTATTGTCGGTGGTCACACTTTCTACTGTGGAGTACGAGGGGCCAGGACCAATATCTGGAGGTGCACTCGGTGGGGCCAGTGCAAAGCAAGGTTCATCATCACGATGAGTGGGGAACTCGTCACCGCACAACTTAATCACACTCACGAACCGCCTTCGTTTGTTATTCATGATGGTATTTATTACAAGATTTAGTTTTCATTTCGGCGTGTTAAAATCCTTTGTAAAGATAAACAATTAAGAAATGATGGTTGTCTTCTAATACTTTCATGAGGCGTCTATGATAAAACACTGAACCAAATTGCGTTAAAAAATATCTATGAAATGCTGAAGCAGAAGTTGAAAAAAAGAAAAAAAAGCAATAATTAATGATTTTCATAAATTAAAATAATCAAGCAAAGATTGAAAAAGCAAAGACATGTTTGATAACAATAAAAACGAATGTATTATACAAAATGTTTGAAAAATATAAATTATTGTGTTGGAATAATTTTTGTTATTAAAGTTTTTCAAATACAACAAGGCCCCGTCTATACAAATGTCCCCTCTTTTTTACTTCCTCATACCAGTAGGTCAATTAATTAATATTTTAATTATTTTTAGTAACTTACCTCCGTAAGCACAACGGAAAACTCATCGCTCTTGTAAATGGATATACGTTTTACTACGACGGGCGCAGGAAGACCACTGACGTGTGGCAATGCAGCAAAGGGGGCTCGTGCAACGCCAGGTTCACAACAACTAAATCCAAAGAATTAAGACGGTCTAACTTTATCCACGACCACCCCAGACCGCGGTATACCATTCGGGATGGTGTCTTTATTAAACTTTAATCAACGCTTTAATAAATTTATCTCTGGTATTTTTATTAGATATAGATTTTTTATTTAAAAATGCTTTCCCGCACAAGTTTCTATGCTTTTTTTTTCTATATTATGAATACATTTTATGTGAATGAATTGCACATAGACGAATATTCAAATCTGAAACAATTAATTGGTCACTTAAATATTTGCTCCGTGCGGGATTCAAACCTCGGGTCTGCAGCGCCACAGCTAAAAGCTTAGCCATTGTGCTATAAATTATTATAATTATATAATCTTTGTATATAAAAATTACGTGTCACGTTGTTTGTCCGCGATGAACTCCTAAACTACTGAACTGATTTAAATTTAAATTTTGCATACTGTGTGCAGTTTGGTCCAACTTGAGAGATAGTTTTTATCCTGATAAGAGACACTCAATATTTTTTTTATTACGAATTTAAGCATTTTTTTATATGAAGTGTCATCGAAAAGGGCAGAACAACGTCTGCCTGGTCAGTTAGTATTTATTTATAATATTATTATAATATAATATTTTATAGGTCCTAGAGCCATGCAGCAGCTATATTAGTAGTAGTATTAGCACGATTGGGTCGGCTTTTGGACTGGAGCGTGGTCCTACCCCGGTTGACCGGGGTAGGACCACGCTCTCACAGAATACCAGTTTAAAATGGCAGCTTAATGCCGCCGTCATTGAGTTATATGTACTACGTACTAGAGAAGCCATTCCGAACATTGACTATGTTCAACTGAACTGTAGTGCAATCCATACAAACTAAATATTGCGTAAATTGAAGATTTGTGAATTCCATAAAATAATTATTATTACATTTTATTTAGAAATATGTTTGTTTAGATTAAATTAAGATATTTTATATTAAATTCTTATATTTATTTTATATTAATATCTTATTTTATATTAAATTAAAGTCTTCGCGCATGCGCGACTACTACTCCCGCGCATGCGCGAAGACATAGAGTAGGACACAATTTTTGTTTGGAATGGCTTCTCTAGTACGTAGTACATATAACTCAATGGCCGCCGTCTTTCGTATGGTGAATGTAGAGAACCGGAGACCCCTTTTACTGGAAACGAGGCATTCCATCTTAGTCCTCACGGGTGACAACGCATCTGTATTTGGATTCGTAGTCGAGGATTGATGTAGATGTCGATGGGCCACAATAACTTCTTACCGTTAGGTGGACGGCGTGCTCGTTTGACACCCTTATCCTATAAAAAAATAGAGCCGTCAACATATTTGTCATAATTCGAATTTTTATTGAAATTCGCATTAAAATTAGATATTCCTATTGTATCCATAAAATACCAACTCTTTTTTTTATAGGAGAGGGGTTCAAACGAGCATACGGCTCACCTGATGGTAATTGATTACCGCCGTCCATGAACAACTACAACACCAGAGGAATTTTTCTACCTAGGGGTCCGTCTTTTATTCAATTTAATATTTCATTGATTGTTTATCGTTTCTTACTGTTTCTTCTCAAAACAGAGATATTTACAGAGTAAATAAAACACAAAAATGACATTCAATAAGTATTATATATAATCTATTGTAAATTTCAAAAAAAAAACCGGCAAAGTGCGAGTTATACTCGCGCATCGAGGGTTCCGAACAAATCTGTAGGTATATAAGTTTAAAATTATAAAAAATATTCATAACTAAAAATTTAAGCTTTTCGCAATTTTTCCTTTATCTGCTGTGCTATAAAACGTTTCGTACCAAATTTCAAGATTCTGAATTCACGAAAAGTACCCTGAAGGTTTTGATTCCCTTGCGAATCTCGAAAATTTACGGCATAAGCGGCTGTATCTTTTGATTGTGTTGGCTTAAAAGATTGATTTTTTTCACAGCTCTAAGGGACAATAGACTTGAGTATTTAATATGAATTTCAGCTTGATATCTCCACGCGTTCCTGAGAAAAAGGGTCTTGACAGACGGACAGACAGACGGACAACAAAGTGATCCTATAAGGGTTCCGTTTTTTCCTTTTGAGGTACGGAGCCCTAAAAAAAATCCATTTCTTCTTGCTATGTACCCAGTAAATAGAAGTGCCTGCTCTCTTGTATCCCGGTCTGAGGGCGTAGAAAGCCAGTATGATTAGAGGCTTTGCGGCATTCTACTTATAATATACATTCACAAGGCATTCCATCTTAACCCACAGAGATGATAACGTATTTGTAGCATTTTTGTCTGAAGTGAGTTGCAGGTGTCCATGAGCTGCAGCAGCCTACTATCTCGTGTGCTTACAGTACACGAGTCATTTGTCACTTAAGTTTAAAAAAATAATGTTTGTTATATTTTTTAAATTTTCCATATTTAACGGTTATCTTTCTATATGATTTTTAGACACGATTCTTCATTACTTGAGAATTTCTACAAATGATGATCACAATTAATTCGTATATCAATTTCATATTTCAATATTATTTTAGTGACGTGGACGGTGAACAGCCACGGCAAAGACTTGGTGTTGATAAATGGTTATAGCTTTTACTGTCATCGGAAGCTCGGCTACACCGATTATTGGTACTGCACCGCGTACTCGTCTTGTCGTGCTCGGGTGATATTCACCAAGAAGAGAGAGGCTCTAAAGGCTTCTCTGAATCACAATCACCAGCCCCGTCAATATGTTATACACAAAGGAATTTACCGCAAATTATAAAGCCGATTAAAATATGTTTATTGTTTTGCATTCTTCAAGTCATTATTTGCACTCCTTTATTCTTTATCGGCGTATTTCGATTGTTTTTCAAAAGAAATATTCAATAGAAAATTACGTGTCCTATGACTTTACACCTATATTCCGCAAGTTAAGGGTTTTAAACTTAATTTTTTTTTTTGCCTAAATATACCAAAATAACTTCAAAATTGATTATTAATGTATTCAAAACTACATAAATCTGTGTATCTCACATAAATATAAATAATTGTGAGAACGACAAAAGGTGATTTTTATAGTGTCCCACCGTCGTTTAGCAAAGTTCCGAACAAAAAATATCAGTATTATCCTACTTTTTTCTTCAATAATTGTATATAATTTGGTAGGGTTATGTGATCGAATTTCGATGATATTCTTTATTTATAGCGTTTTAGAGCACAAAATAATATAAAATACTCGTTTTAACTTTCCCTTAATATGCCGTTGGTGAAAAATTTCACATACGCTACGTAGATTTCTGGACTTTGAATATTTTTTTTTTAATTTAGTGTTGTTTTTTACTATTGGCAGCATTTTAGCAAGCAAACTATCGCCATATTAGTTTTATGACAGTAGTCACGTTTGTGAAGCGTCACCTCGTCTTGTTTTTATTTTCCACCACGAACTTTACTATTTGAAGTAAGTAATGATTTTTTTATTAGAAATTTTGATGGCTAATTAAAAATGTATTAAGAATCTGAATTGAAAGTAATATTTATTAAAATTATATCGATCTACTGAATTTTGAAGTTTGTTTCTGTGCCAGCGTCATACGTCATATCCTCTATGTAACATATTGTATTAACAATACTTTGCGTAGAGGTCTATTAGGGGAACATCAAATTTGACGTAGTTGAATTCTTAAGCATGGTTTACATTGTGCCTGGTTTATTTTGAAGTTTTTATCGAGCTGCTTATGATATTAATAATAGACCTTATAGGTCAAAGTTAATATTAACTACATTTAATAAACGAGAAAATAAATTTAATTGATCATACTTTTGTAATTCTTTTCTTTTTTTTCGATTACCGTAGGTAGGACGAGGATTTGTACTCAACAGATTACAGCAAAAGTTAGGTAGTAGCTTGGATCATATAGGTCAAGATTAATTTTTGCTTCTCATTTTAGAACTCACCGTGGCATTTACATTCATAAAAAAAGGAGCTTGAAAAACTAAAGAGCATTTAAAAAAGATAAATGAGTTAAATTAAGAGCAAAAATATGCTAGACGTAGGCGATGGCGAGAACAAAAAAGAAATCAAAAAGAAAAACAATGATAACTCCAACAGCAGGGTAAGAGGTGACGGCAACAATCAACATAGATGTAGCAGAACAACAGTCAGCTGCTGTAGCAAATACAGTTTTTCGTTCATTTAATACTTATTAAAAAATAAACAACAATTACAGAACAGCTCTAAAAAATGTCGAGAATTATAAAACTACTCTAAACAATTCAAGAAAGAAACGTTACCGTGCGAAAAAACAACACGAAAAGGAAATACTTTTATTAAAAACAGAAAATGAGTAGCTCACAGAGCGCGACAAGAAGTGATTTACTGCGTGAAGTATACTCAGAATACAAGAATAATCCTGAAAAAGAGTTAGTAACAATATAACATAAAGGTGAAAAAACGAGCACAAAACCGGAACGTACATTGTTGGGTCTTAAAGGCCAAACAACAAATAGTAAATTCAAGAACAAGCCTCTAAACAGAAATATTGTAGAGGACTTGGAAAAGTTTTATAATCGAGATGACATAAGTAGAAGCATAGCTGGTAAAAGGGAAACTAGAACTAGGAATAACAATAAAGTGCAAATTAGATACCTGGTCGATACTACGCAAATTCTTTATCAAATTTACAAGGATGAAGATGGAAAATATAGCTTCACTGCGTTTTTAGGTACAAGCCATATTACGTACTTTCACCAAGCGCTATGACCAGAAACACGTGCATGTGTTCAAAGCACAGCAACATGGAGTTCATGTTTGTTGCTCTGAGGTTCTAAGGAGCCGTATCTCACACGAGCACTACCGAGCTATTAAATAATATCGCGTGCGATACTAAATCCTTTCGTTGTATGTACAATAAATGTCATCTGTGCAAAATTCTCAAAATTCTGTACAATGAAGCCAAATTGCAAGATGAAGTAACTTGATTCAAATGGAGTAGAGTGACTCATAAGTATGAAAAACACACACACAGTTTTCACATCTTCATCAGTCGGTAAAAATCAACCGTTGGACATCGGCTTCTCCTACTTTAGAAAGGGTTTACCTCAATCGTCACACTTGTCAAGCGGATCGACGATCACAGTGAGGTTTCGCACTTTGGACACTGCTTCCCGTTGCCATTACATCTTTTTCGCTTGTCTTAATGTCGCCTCTTACGACGACCCCCACAGGAATAAAATGACGGATTGTTTTATGTCGCCACCACCGGCAACCTTTCACATACTCATTTATAATAATAGTATAGATTACGGTGTATCTAGTTATCAGCTAACCGGACAACTAACATATGTATAATATTCATCCACTAATTGGATGAATAGTTAATATTCACATAGATACTATACGTTCATACGATAATATAACGATTTAGTTTTTATGTATACAATTATCGTGTAATGTCATCATCATCATCATTACAGCCCTTCACAAGTCCACTGCTAAACATAGGCCTCCCCCAAAGAATGCCACAAAGCACGGTCCTGAGCCACCTGCATCCATCGACTTCCTGCATATCTAACCAGGTCGTCACTCCATCTAGTGGGGGGACGCCCTACACTTCGCCTGCCGGTACGAGGCTGCCACTCGAGAACCTTTCTTCCCCATTGGTTGTCGGTTCTTCGAGCTATATGGCCTGCCCATTGCCACTTCAGCTTACTAATCCGTTGGGCTATGTCGGTCACTCTGGTTCTACTGCGGATATCCTCATTTCTGAGTTTATCACGCAGAGAAACTCCGAGCATAGCCCTCTCCATAGCTCGCTGAGCGACCTTGAGCTTCCTCATCCGGCCAGCAGTGAAGGACCACGTCTCAGTTCCGTATGTCATCACTGGCAACACGCACTGGGTGTACAGTCTCGTTTTCAAGTTTTGAGGTATACCTGTGTATATATATCGTGTAATGTGATGTGTTTTATTCGTCAGACATGTTTAAAAAAAATAATGATATTTAAGTAAGTATATTCTGATACTTATGTACTCGTATGATTAGGCTATTATGTCAATTATGTTTTCTTTTTTAAATACAAGAAAATCACGATTTGAAAGTTAATGAGACTTTTGGTTCATATGAGGAATTACAAAAATTTGAATTACCAAAACATTCAGTTTTGTGTATTATATAAATGATATAATACGGTTACGATACAAAAATCAAGAAAACAAGGAGTGAAAAGATACATCTAAGAGAATTTAAAATACTATTCAATTAGGGATTGGTGTATGAATGGAGGAAAAAATTTCAAAACCAAGGGGACAGGACAGAGAAGTTCAAGTACCCTTAAAAAAGCCAGCATCATTTAAAGTAAATGTTACTGGCGTTGGAGAAAAATTATTTATTTCATCCTCAAATTTAACTATCGATTGACGAAAGAATTGTACGACCATCTTCCGCAAGTAAGACGAATGATACCGGAAACAAAAAATTGAGTGAAAGAACTTTTGGAACAGAAAAATGCAAAATAATAATAATAAAATGGTTGGTGATGAATGAATATGTAAATGAATTACTCAAACAACAAACAAAAATTAGTGAAAGTTACATTGAAAAAAAAAAGAATTACTTTTGTGATTATCGGTGATAATAATGTTGATTTGTCCATTGTTCGAACTTATTTCTTTGATGAAGCATGGAAAAAAATTAGAAAGATGTACGAGAGAAAAAAATTAGATGATTGGCAGTGTAAACGATGATTACGTTGAAAAACCAAGAAAATTTAAAATAAGTACAGGCTGTGATTTTTGCTTGGAATGGTATCATTTGAAATGTGCTCGTTTACTCAGAAAACCTAAAGGAAAACTGTGGATGTGTATGGATTGTCAAGAGAAAGAAAAATATTATATTAAACGTGGTAGAGACATACTGTAGCTATATTAATAGTAAAGTTTTAGGATGAATGGGTTTCGTATGGTGAGTGTAGAGAACCGCATCTGCATTTTGATTCGCAAACGAGGATAGATGTAAATGTATATGGGCTACAGCAACCACTTACCATCAGGTGAACTGTGTGCTCGTTTGTCACCCTTATCCTATAAAAAAATGAATTAAATCTGCAATTGTTGTTTGATCCGCGACCAAAATTGAAACGATTGTTGTTGCAGCTTGTTTCTGTAAATTAAGATACATAATTATTATAGTTAGTTTATATGCTTCAATATTGATAATTAAATATTATTAAAGTATAAATTGATTATAATACTATCCTTTTTAATGTTATTATTTAATTTCTTTAGATTGACATCCATGATGATCCATCAGAATTGCAAAGATATTATTTTAATATAAATTTACACATAATTTTTTATTTGTATTACTTTGGTTTAGTACTCGTGTTATTCACTTAGCTGTAATACTCACATTCTGTTGGTGTACCACTGTTATATTTCTTTATTTATTCAAATCAAAACAATTAATGATAGTGAAATTTACACTCACAGTTACAACTACATTAATATGCTTCTGAAGTGGGGCCTTTTATTTATCCATGCATTGTCTTGGCACCAACTTCAAAAGCTGTTATGTGGAAATTACTTTTTCCTTTTAGTCGTTTGATTCTTTCTTTTGTTTTGTTTAATGTTAGATTATTTTTATTTAGCTCAGTTAAGTATCAATGAAGCAGAGCTCCAATGGATTGCCTTAAATATTTATGTTATTAGTATTGCGTGCTATTTAGAGCTAATTTTATTGTGTCCGTCTGTCTTATGTATCCTAGTACTCTAGCTTTAAAAATTAGGTTATATCCTGTGGATAGGTATAGGTCTTAATTTAAGGTAACAAAAATATATCAACAATGTGTAAACTTTTTTCAGTCGTCTGGAGTCGAAGCCCTCGCGGAAAAGACGTCCTTATTTTCCGAGGTTACATGATGACAAGTAACAAATCTTGTGGCAACATCACATATTGGTACTGCACGCATGGACGAGGAGATTGTAAAGCTAAAGCTACCACGGTTAAAAATACTAGGGACATAATACGGATGTTACATAACCATAACCACAAACCCAAAAACTTTACCATAAGGGATGGAATATGTTATAAATGGTATTGAAGCCATATATGTTGTATAGGTTTGTTACGATATACAATAGACGCAGTGTGTGTTTTGATTTAGCGTAAATTTAAAAAAATTGTAAGCAAAACAAAAACATTAAATTCTTTTTTTTTTTTCACCACTTTTACTAGCTTGATGTGTATGTAAGTATGTATATGTGTGGCTATAATATATAGTTCAGTTTACACCCATTTCCCGACGTGGGAATAATTTAAAATTTTGCAGACGTATTAAGAACCGATGACAATACGATAATTTTTATACTATGGCCTGCTTTTATCACTGGGATTATTACAGCTCATGATCAATACGTTTAAGTTTTTGTAACACTAATATTATTAATTATATGATTCATCTTCAAATTCAGTTTGTAAATTGTTGATAATCTCAATTCCCGCAAATTTTGAGCAAATATCATGATATATGCTTATACGCGTTTGCTTTTATAAAAGTGAGCTCACAGTCCACCTGATGGTAAAGGAATGTGCGGCCCATTGACACAATAATACAACTACTTAACATCAGTCGGATTACGTCTTGATTACGAATTAAAGTGCAGATTGATATACGTTGTCACCTCTGTGGACAAAGATGGTATTTACGGGAAAGATTACGTCATTGCTATGTTGTAATAACGTAATCTTTCCTAGGAAGTGATCACAATAAATGCTACCAATTACTTTAAAATTTTCATGGTGCCGCTTAGCAATATTTTATGAATTTTCACACTTTTATATATAACTTTTGTGAACACACAGAACAGTATCATTATGTAAATTAATTGTTTTTAAATAGTTCTTTTGATAAATTGAGGCTTTTTATGTTACATATGAATACTTATTGCCCCTCCGAGTATTATATAATATGCATACCAATGAAATTACAACTGCATATTTAAAAAAATAATTTAAACTGCAAAAGCAAAACTTATCTTTATAGAGACTTAGTTTATGTTTTAACTAATATTGACTAAAATTTTAATCTAGCACCTGTAAATCTGACGCCAGATAATATAAGGCTTGAGCCACCTACGCGTTATTTTTGCATCAAATAACTAGCATTCGCACGTAACCTTAAGGCAAATTTTCTATTTTCTATTATAAAGTTTCATTCAGTCATTGATTAAAGTATGTTTTGTAAACTTGTATAGTATCTCGTTAATATTTTGATGAAATATAATTTTAAATTACTATTGTTTTAGAAATGTGAATTTGATACCACATAATATGTTATAAATTATTGAATATATGTGCTAACACTAATTGATGATCCATGTTAAATGCACCAAGTTATTTATTATCTATATATCAGATATATTGATTGTAGCTGAATTTTAAATACATTAGTTTTTATAATATCTGTATCAGTATAAAATAAATTTGATTTTTTTATAGTTTTTTTTAATCTTTATAGTAGTAAGGTAAACAGGCACACATACTAGCTGATGGTAAGTGAATGACACCTATATCTATCTTCAATTAGACACCTATATCTATCTTCAATTAAGAATGAAAATACTGATGTTGTCACCCCTGAGGACTAAGATGTCTCGCTCAATGCCTCGCTACCAGTAAAGAGGGTCTCCGGTTCTTGTCAGCTACTATGCTAGACACAGCACCGTTATGCTGATATTTTCTACTGGTATTTATTTTCTTCGTCCTTCTGACCCATTTGTGCCGGTGGCCCTACTACCTAAATCAGGTTTTTATTAAAATTATTCACAAGAAAAACTACATCTTAATTTCAACAGGCAATTTTCAATCCCCCCTGTAACCATAGGTAGCGCAAAGTACTCGAAGCGTCGGGAATATAAGTGCTAATCGTCGGGAGCTATAGTCGGGAGCATGACACACGATAAAATCCGTAAAAACTATTTTCATTGAACAGATCTTTTTCATTCATCATTTATTACATCTGGACGCTGATATTATATATCATTATCATATATCTGATATTATTCGCTTCATTCATATATTACGTGATGACGGCTCCGTGGCGCAGTGGCGTAGCATTGAGTAACGGCGCTGAGGAACGCGTGTTCAAATTCCCCACGGAACAAGTATTTGTATGGCCTACAAGTATCACTATCAAAAGTCCACTGCTAAACATAGGCCTCCCCCATAGATATTTGCCATGGTTGCAACGCTTAGCGGGCGGAATGGCAAGCGGAATTATTTTAGTTGTTATCAGGAAAATGCTGCCCATCTCCTGTTTCAGTTACCCTTTGTTGTCTCTTACGACACCCACGGGACGAGGAGTAGTGGGTTCTCTTACTCCTTCACTACAAAAGGCAGTTGTTCTAATGTTATTTAACAGTACTATACTTAATAATATTTTAATCGAATTTATATTTATAAATGTTTATTTACAGTAATATGGGCTGTTAATGAAAGGAGTGGCAAAGAAATTCTCTTAGTGAACGACTTCAGCTTCTACTGCTTGAGACGTCAGCGTAATACCAATTACTGGCGCTGCACCACCAACTATTGCAAAGCACGAATAATCGCCACTATTGAGAAAACAATTCTCCGCTGCTGTTTAGATCATAACCACCCTTCAAGGAATTTCATTGTCAGAGGCGGTGTTTATTATAAATTATAATGTTGATAATTTGAATTCCTAGATTTTAAAGCAGTTTTAAAAAATTATAACAGATATTGTAGAATGATTGTTTGCCCTAAACGTTTCAATTGAAGAAATATATATTTAACTGCATCTCGTGTTTTAAGTTATTTCTACAAATTTAATATTTGACGCGCTTACAGCCATGGTCATTGTGGTTATATTAGTTCACTGAAAATTTTAGAAAATTCTAGAATTCTTCAGCAATATTGGATTCATCGACGGATTATGCAGATATGATTTTCGAGTTGTTTTAACCACTATGATTATACAATAAAATTAATTGTTGTTTGTGTGTAAATATGACGTGCTCTATCTTATATTATCACGACGATTTTTTTGGTTTATATTTTAATTTATTTTTTTATAAGTTATTAGTGTATCTTTTACAAAGAATAAATAAAACATCATTACTCCTATTTTATATTTATTCCGTAGCAGTTTTTGTTTACTTTCAGGTCAAAAAAGCAAGAAATAAAAAGCTTCATTTAATGTTAACCAATTTCATTTCAAAAGGCGCACATATTATTATTTAATATAGATTAAAAACTATACAAGAGATCGAAAGCTCCGGTGAACAAATTATGCCAGAGTCAATGTTAAAGTTTCCATCCACTTCTTGTCTGTAACTAAGCTATTCTTCCAGTGATGTGGGTAAGAAAGAAAGATGGCAAACAGCTGGCTATAGTTGACGGTTTCACTTTCTACGTGGATGGGAGAACAAAGAACAATGTGACCTGGAGATGTACATCTGGCCATTTCTGTAGAGCCCGATTCGTGGTCGACAACAACTTTCTTGTGATCAGGTCCAACTTGATTCATGCTCATGCGCCACCAAGATACGTCTTGCGGAATGGAGTTTTTTTCAAAATTTAAATAGTTGTTGATGCTCATTTTATTTTACATAGAAATAAAATTAAAAATACACACATTTTTCATAATTTTTTCTTTTCATCTGTTTAGGCACTTATTAGGGAGAAAAGAAAATTATCATGTGAATATGTAAATAAGTGTATGTAATGTTTTTTTTATATGTAAATGATTAAAATTTTATTTATACATCTAACATAAGCAATGTAATTACAATAACAATTAATATACAAATATACAAAATTGTCTTATCTGACATCAGTATTTTGAAAGATTATATAAATTTTGTGAAGAGAGATTAAAACAAGATTTAAAATAATATTGAAACGTTTGTAATGAATCAATTTAAAATATATATACATCTAGCTCCTACACTTACATATACATGGAAACTATATGAAGCATATGTAGTATAATATTTTGTGTACTAATGCACAACACTTTGCCTACCTACCTACCGGTACGAGGCTGCCACTCGAGAGAACTTTTCTTAACCATCGGCTGTCGGTTCTTCGTACTGGTAGACGAAGTTTGGGGCGCCCCCACCCACTAGATAGAGTGACGACCTGGTAAGACATGCAAGAAGTCGATGGATGCAGGTATGCAGATGGCTCGGAACCGTACTTTGTGTCATCACTTGGGGGAGGCCTATGTTCAGCAGTGTACTTGTGAAGAGCTGTAATGATGATGATGATGATTATGAATTCATAACACTTTCATTCCTTATGTTTGAATCTCTGTCACGTAGTCCTTAAACTTAGGTTTTTCTCTTTATCATTAGAGTAACACACGAGAAAATCTACCTGATGATAGTTGGCTAATTTAGCCTATGCAAATCTCATCATTATCATTACAGTCCTTCTCAAGTCCACTGCTGAACATAGGCCTCGCCCAATAGCCACCTGCATGCATTGACTCTCTGCATTTCTTATAAAGCTGTCACTCCATCTACTGGTAGGGCAGCCCCTACATTTCGCTTACTAGTACGAGGCTGCTCGAGAGCCTTTCTTCCCATCGGTTGTCGTTTCTTCGAGCTATACGACTGGACCATTTCCACTTTTGCTTACTGATCAGTTGGGTTATGTCGGTTAAGACGACTTGGAATGAAACAATTAGATCCTTAAAATCGTCGTCTTCATCGCCGCTCCGGGAAGACAGTAGACTATGAACACTTACAGCAGTTTTGATAGACCACAAATCCTTGCAAAAGAACACCGATTTGTTTTCAGTGTATGTACAAGCTTATAATTTTTTTGTAATTTATATTGGTTTCTGCTTTAGTGGACCTAATTTGCAAATAAAAATAATTTATGCTTGTGTTTATATGGGGATTCGACTAGGTGCTAGCCATTTGTCTCAGTTACGGATTGAGTCAAAAGTACTCGGATACCTAGACGTGCATGCATGAAGAAGATAATGAATCTGAAAGAAGCGAAAGAGGTTTGTAAGGATCGTGAAACTTGGCGATCTGTTCTCTCTGGCTACCCCGTCAAGGATTGTGCGTGAAGATAAGAAAAAAGAAGAAGAAAAGACGGATTGAGTCAACCGTAATTTTGGTATATCCGGCTTCGACTGTAATATACCTTTGATATTTGTAAATGAAATTATAACATGGCATTTAAGCAATAAATAAAACACCCCAGTTCTTCTTGTCTGATCTTCACTGTTATAAGGCCTTTTTTTCGAATCAGTATAGATTTTAACGTTCATAAGAGTTTTAAACAAGCCTAAATTGAGTAAAAAGTTTTGATTTTGACTTTGAATAGTCTCATGACTGGACCAATGTCTCCACAGTGCAATGGGTGAGGAAATCATGTGGCAAACAGTTGGCGATTTTGGACGGATTCACTTACTACCTAGACGGCAAAAGCAACCTGACGACGACTTGGAGATGCACCTCCGCTGGTCCGTGCAAGGCCCGCTTTGTGATGTCCAATCATGTAATGCAGATCATCCGCGGCAATCTTAACCATTCTCACAAAAAACCGACTTATGTTATACGCAATGGAATTTTCTTTAAAACTTGAAACTTGTAGATTTGTTTAAGTATGATGTATATAAAATGTACGTAACTTTTTAATTAAAACCCTTTACAAATGTTGACAGTTTGTTCATATTATTGTTCACAGTGCAATGGGTTACGAAAGAAAGCGGCAAACAGCTGGCGATCCTCGATGGATTCACGTACTATCTCGATAGAAGAAGCAACTTAACCATGACTTGGAGATGCACTTCTGCCGGTCAGTGCAAGGCTCGCTTCGTCATCTCCAATGATCCGATGCAGATAATCCGTTGCAACCTTTGCCATATGCACAGAAGACCGTCTTTTGTTATACGAAACGGAGTTTATATAAGAACTTGAGATAAGCTTTATTCCATGATAGTTTAAAATTCCAATTGCTATGAAACATTTCAATTAAATAATAAATTTAATTATAATAGTGAGAATTAATTAAAAAAATCTTCACTGCTTACTTACTATACATTGAAAATTAAATATTTTATTATTAAATATAACTAATTCATGATGTAAAATTTAGTATTCGTGGTTAAGTTTTTTTTTTATTACTATGGCTAATAAATGTTAGTACTTAAAGAATGTATATGTTCTCATTTTATATTAATGTATTTTAAGAAACGATTTATAATATTAGTGACTAGCTGTCTCCCGCGACTTCGCACGCGTATATTTTGCATTTATTACGATTGGATTTCATGGGTTTTAATTTTTTTGCGCGGAACCCTAATTCTTTCTCTAAAATGAAAGTAGCTTAAGTTACTCCTTAAAACATCAGCTACCTGTCAGTGAAAGTACTGTCAAAATCGGTCCAGCCGTTTCTGAGATTAGTCGGAACAAACGGAAAGACAGACAAACAAAAATTAAAATTTTTTTTTATGTTATTAGTACCGTAAATACTTTCATATGCATTTAGTAAAACGCTGTTATTTTGTAAAAACAGACATTACAATTAAAAGTAAGTGCTAAAAATAATAAACATGGTAGGTAAATATTAGTGATTCTTAGCCTTTATTATATGGTGCTGGAAATGCGAGTCATAGATATATGTATATACAACCTACAATTTTTCATGACCTCGATATAATTTTTTTAATGTAATTTACCACTGCTGAACATAGGCCTCCCCCATAGATTGCCTTATAGGGGGATTATATTTGTCATAGTGGCCACACTTGGCAGGCGGGTTGGCAACAGCATTGTATATTTTTTACTTTTAGTAATTATTAGGAAAACACTGCTCCCCATCTAGTTTGTTTCTCTCTGTCGCCTTTTACGTCAACCACGGTACGATATGGGGCAGTGGATATTCTTACACCGCCACTACACGGTCAATGTTATTTGTGTTTGTCTATTAACACAAAAGTCAGTACATTCATTTATACTTTATAAGTTAAATTCATTTTGTATTTTTCAATTGTTAAGTTTAATTCATATCGGAGGTGGGAGTCTGGTGACCGGTAACACAGATTTTGTAAGACCACCATGGGCACCACACTCTCACATTTAAAAAAAAACAATTATCATGTATCTTAATGCTGAAAGTTGACGCTTAAAATTTGTGAAGTAAATTAAAGACTATTTCTTTATTTTTTTAAATTAATGTTGTTACTTATGATTTTAGTGCAATTTGTACAGAATCGCGCGGGAAAACTTCTAGCGTTGGTTGAAGGACACACATTCTACCGTGACAAACAAAATACCAATACACATGTTTGGCGGTGTACGAAGGGAGGCTGGTGTAAAGCGCGTTTCACTTTGACCAACGATTTGCGTCTAGTTCGTGGCACCTTTAATCATGTTCACCAACAAACGAAATACATTGTACGTGACGGAATTTATATTAAAATCTAAGATTTCTCAAATTATATCACTCGAATTAGATCTGCTTACCAAGTAAATAAAATATAATTTTTGTATTAGGAATTTAGTGCATAGTATAGTTACAGTGTAATTTAATGTTATTGTAAAATTGTTGTCTATGTCTAAGGTTTATTCCTACAGTCGCACCCTTTTTAGTGTCTTCTGGTTAAAGAACATCTTAAATGTTTACACTGTATAATGTATATATGTATATGTTATATAAATTATATATGTTTATATATAATTTCGAATGCAAAACTCTTAATTTAACACAAGACACACTTTTGTAATTAATTTAAAATAAAATTATACCGTAACGTTTGTATAATTATTTATTTCTTAATAAAATTCCAAGGTAACTAAATTGGTTTTAGAATCGAAATCTAATATCATAAGTTAATTTATCTACATATATAATATCATTACCTACTTTTATTAAATCTTCTGCTTAGGCTATTTCTTAAATCAAAAATCAAAGACGTGGTTTGTATGTAAATTGTCTAATTGTGAAAACTTTTGCACAGTACGATGGGTTAAGAAGCGCACCGGGAAGCCGTTGGCGATCATTGATCGTTTTACTTATTACTGCGCCGTGAAGTCCTCCGCCACGAGCACCTGGCGCTGCACGAAGGGAGGACAGTGCAAGGCCAGATTTATCGTCAACAACTACATGGAGATTACACGCTCTTCCCTCCTTCACGATCATCCGCCGCCCAATTACGTTATACGCAATGGAATTTACCTTAAAATCTAGGTCTAATTTTAAAACTATAGAGATATATTAAAAAAAATTGTGATTGTAACTGTGCAAACACGTACGGAGTGAAACTTCTTTACGACATATCATTCTTCTTTTATTTTATCTTAGCTGATACCAGCGATTTCGTCCGCATTGTTTGATATATTAACAAAGTTTTCGTATGTGCGAAAGAAAAAACATCAAAAAGATCACATACAAAATTTCTTTGTAAACAGTGTTATTCATTGCTCCGTTTGTAGCTAATATACTCGTATATAAATTATCTGGGTTAGTAACGCGGGAGCATGCGACGTACCAGTTATCATCGTTACCATTACGTACAGTTGACCGGATGAAAAATCCCGTATCAAAATAGTTGTCTTAAAACTTTAATAACTATATTAAATTAAGATAACGCAATTTTTACCTAAGTAGGTTAAATAAGGTTTACGCAAAAAAACACATGCGTGAGTGTCGTGGAACACTCGGTTGGAACGAAGTTCCTTTCGTAATATATTATTATTGATAAACGTATTATATTATTGATTAACAAATACAAATAAATGAATTACTAGCGTCTATTAAAATGGAGCGTCATTTGAAATAAAATAATATTTCTTTCATGGCAAGATAAGAAAAAGCGCGAGGGAGATTTATATTATTCCATCTCGCTTCCTTAAAGCCGCCAAGGTCGTCTACACTACGTCAGAAGGAGCCGTGACGGAAAAATCCTACACTTTTCTCGCCTAGCCCCCATCCGCTAAATTGAAGGTTCAGTTTAAAGAATTTCGTTCCAAAAACGTTACTAAATTTGTCCACTACGTCGATAAAAAAGTTTCACTTCGAAAATAATTAGACTAACATTTTTCTTTGAACGTGTTTAATTTTATCTTACTTTTAGAAAATTATTGTAATGGATTTGATTTTGCATTTTCCACTTTTGTAATATTATCTCTGTTTGAAGGTTTCTAGAGTCTGATGGTATTGCTTTTAGAAGATTGTATATCTGTGTTCGTACGTTCGTGGTTAATTTTCGCCACGCATATCTCGACTACGCAGGTTCGGAATATGGTCAGAGCAATTTTATATTTTCCTATTTCATATTCCAAGTTTCCTGGTTTTAGTCACTTCCTACTGGGAAGTGTTCATAGTTATTTATTATTAACTGTTGCGTCATATTTATCTCGAGAGAAAATAATGTAATCGACGTCAGATGCACAATTATATAGTTAGAACCTAATTGAGTTTTTATCAAAATCTATCCAAGAGTTTCTTTGTTAGGAATAAATTACTTGAAGAAATGGGCATAATCGCATTTTAAAATTAATTTAGAGGGTAATTTTTTTTAAATAAAATACAAACATATGTATGCATAGTTATTTAGTAATTTTAGCGTTACCTAGTTAGTAGACGAATATATTTTTCACGTAAATTAAAATCGTTATTTTTATTATCAGAACTAAATGAGATGATTTCGAAGTGCATGAGCTTAGTAAATAGTTCGCAATTATCTACACAAATTATATGTGACCCCCAGATATTACAATATAATTATTTTTATTAATTTCAGTGACATGGGTCCATAAGCCGTGCGGCAAACGTTTGGGTATTGTCAACGGTTACACATTCTATTTGCACAAAAGGAATTCCAAGTCCCAGATATGGAGCTGCACCAAGGGCGGAGGCTGCAGAGCCAGGATAATTTTGTCCTGTTATACCCATATCGTGACGCACGCTCTTACAGATCACAATCACCCACCGCCAAATTTTATAATCGAAAATGGATACTATGTTAAAGTTTAACGTCACTGTTAATATTCAGATACAATTTTTTTTAAATATTAGAGTGGCAACAAGCTTTACAGTCTATCTGATGATGGCAACATTTGGAAACCTGCAACTTGATGCATTGTCATCCCTGAGGAATAAGATGAAATACTTCACAGACTGAAATTACACTAGTTTGTTGTACCCGAATCGGTTTAAAAATGGACTGGACTCTTGAAAATGAGCCCTAACCTTTTTTTGATGAATATTAATGTTCGAAAACTGTATATTCTATTTTAATAAGGAATTTAAGTTAATTATTTAACTGATGTAATAATCCAATTATACCAAAAAAAAATTAAATAAAGAATAAAACTAAATAAAACTAGTTTTACGGATTTTATCGCGTATATTAACTTATTTTATATTCCAGACGTTTCGAGTACTTTACAGCACCCATGGTCACGGGGGGGACTGAGGTGTTTGACGTCCCAATGTCATAGATAACCACGGCTACCTCCAGATTAAAATTATTAATTTTTGTTCCGATCTACGCAGTATGAACTTGAAGTCTTTGAGTTGTATACTTGGGTTGGGATTTAATTTTATTAATTATAGGATCCCAAGCAGATGGTAGTACCCAGCCATCTACTCTATTGAAATTAGGCTGTTTTTTGATTTCAATAGCCTCGTGATACATCATTGGAAGGAATCAGTGGTCTATAGCGAGTTTTGTGATCTATCAAATAAAATGTAGTGACGGGGGCGATCCTGTACGTGTTCACAGACTGCAGACTTCCCGGATCGTCGGATCTTCACATCAACTAAAGTAAAGAACACACTTTAACGCAGGTTTTTATTGATGTTTTAGTTTGTCCTATATAAGAGAGACTACATACACAATCAAGCTTGGTACACTCCTGCATCTTGCAGAGGGACATTACACTTGACTGTTGGTAAAAACTGACTAATCTTTTACGCGGCTTGAAATATTTTTAAATGGAAGCACGCTTCAAGATGTAGCCAATCTTGTCAGTAACACCTCTGACATATGGCAGTACAGCAGGCACTCGCTCGACTGTGACCGGCTTCACTAGTTCACTGTGACGTAGGTGCGGGACCCGAAGCTTGTTGTCGTACAAAACGTCAAACACATCAGTCTTAACCGTGACCATGGGTGCTGTAAACTGCTCGAAACGCCGGAAATATAAAATAAGTTAATATACGCGATAAAATCCGTAAAAACTAGTTTTATTTAAATGTGTAGTGTTTACGTAAATATAAGAAATCATTAAATAAAAGTAAAACTTGAAATAATCAAAATAAGCAGCATCTTTTTTATACCTAAATAATGACCAGAAACGTGTTTTCCGTGTTTGTACCCTCCCTTTTTATAAAATACCATGTAGATATTCCGCTTGTCCTCTCCCTTACCCCGTTATGTAATTATTACGAAAAGGTTCTCTTTCAGAATCTATTATGTGGTATAAATAAAAAGCGAAATAAAAAGAATAAAATATTTTATTCTTTTTATTTCTCTGAAGTCTTTTAATTTTTAATAAAAGTGTAAGTTTTTGATAATTTTAAGTTGACTAAGTAATTTAGTAGTAATTTAGAGGCTGTCATACCTCAAGGTAAAAACTAAAATGTCGTCTAAATAATTACATTCTAAACTTTATCATCTATGTTTCCATCCTTAGGGGTGGATAGTATGACAAAATTTGTTTTTGATTTGGGACCAACCCTAAAATATAACCTAATCAATAAAGAAAAGAATCATTATTGTTGTTTTACAATAATTGACGAAGATATCGGGTAACATACATACAATTGAAAGAACATACGTCTAATTGAGAACTTCTTACTTTTTTAACGTCGGCTATAAATTTCCTTAAGACAAAAGCTCCATCTTCATAAAACTTGCGTAAGACCTATCGTTTACCTACTGCGTAGAGCATGCAATACCGTTATATCGTTACCGCTATTTCGCAAATTTCGCGCTGTATTTCAGTACCGCAAAAGCGAGATTACAGGTGCGAATTTCGCAGTATTAAAAACGAACGCGGTATGAAACCAGAGTAACAATGAGTAATTTTTTTTTATAGGATAGGGTGACAAACGAGCACACAGTCCACCTAATGGTAAGTGGTTACTGTGACCCATAAACATCTACATCTATCCTCAATAAAGACTCAAGATGCAGATGCGTTGTCACCCGTGAGGACTAAGATGGAATGCCTCTTTGCCAGTAAAAAGGGTCTCCGGTTCTCTACACTCACCATACCAAACACAACAGCGTTAAGCTGCTATTTGACGCTGGTTTTCTGTGAGAGCGTGGTCCTTCCCAGGTCGAGCTGACTCATTCGTGCTACAACTATACTACTAATATAGCTGCAGCATGGCTCTACCACGTAAAATATATGGAGACAGTTAACAATGAGTAACTATCTGCTAAGCATTCCACCAACGAGCGTAGAAGCTGAGAGAGCATTTTCGGCTGCTGCATACATATGTAATAACGTTAGAAGTTCTTTAAATGATGAGACAGTGGAAATGCTATGCATTTTACCTAAACATTTCCAAGGTATAAATTAAGATTAGGGTTGTATGTGTGATTAATTGTAGTTATCTCATGTTAGTGTTATAATTTAACCCCCATCGCAAATTTTGCGATATTACAAGTTCCAATACCGCAATATTGCGGTATTAAAAATATACAACAGTGGTAGAGCCACGTGGCGGCTTTTGCTGTCGCACGGATAGGCCGGCTCGAACCGGGGTGGTTCCACGACCTCACAGAATACCAGCGTGAAGTAGAGGTTTACCTCTGCGTTTCGCTTGGTGAGTGCAGGTGGCCGGAGGCCGTCTTTACTGGAAATGAGGCATTCCATCTTAGTCCTCACGGGTGACAACGCATCTGCATTTTGATTTGTAATAGAGGATAAATGTAGATGTCTATGGGCCGCAGCAACCACTTACCATCAGGTGGACTGTGTGCTCGTTTGTCACCCTTATCCTATAAAAAAAAAATACTGCGGCATTGCATGCTCTAGTACTGCGCAAGCGCAGCCTTTGCCCACGCGTCCACGTACAGTTTGCTCGACCTCAATATCGTTCAAAATAGCTTCCTTCACACAGCCCCCGGTTACAGCCCGGTGGTATCAGTGTAACTCCGACCTACACTGGGATTGCAAACTTCCCTCAATCTCTGAATATTTCAAGGAAATATTTTAGCGCTAGTTTGAAATCGCCGAGACATATCCTAATACGCTTGTGGTAAAAGCAGCCACCTACCCTCCGACTCCAAACGTTATGGCCGGTCTCCGTAGAATCCGCAACATTTTAATAAAACCTCAGGTTTCGTTGTATCCCGACGACGCAAATCGCGCTGGCCCGCCACACTTATACTACACGTGTACAAGTGCCACAAACATCGATAGGACAACGTATGGGATGTATGGGACCACGCCGCGTACTCACTGTACACCCGCGAGTGAAGAACATCGAACGATACAAGTTAACCGTCAGAGTCGTAGCCCGCCACCCCTGCTCGGACGGTGCGGCGGTCAGATAACTCATCTGTACACAAATTTTCGTACATAACACCGTAACATAATAGTTATCTTCGGACATCATCATCATCATCAGTCCCCCTTTTTTATAGCACCGATGGAGCTGTAAAAGCCAACTGGCTAACAGCTAACATAACAGAAACTAGAAGGTTAAAAGGTTTGATCATGTAAATTAAAATAAATTAATGAATTGAGAAAAAGTGACAAGTATTTAAAAAAACACATGTTCAAAGTCGTTTCACAATGAATGGTTTTCAGGTACAGTTTTTGTAAAGACACCGGCCGGTACCAGATTAATACTGCTGGATGATTATACTTACAGTTTGTTTAGAGACTGCAAAGCAAAACATTTAACCTATTGGAGATGTTCTACACACAACGGCAAAAAATGTCGTGCCAAATTGGCTCTCACTGTTCGGAATAAGGTTATAAAGATTAATAAGGAACACAATCATAAACCACAGAGATATTTTTAAAAACCGGTCTCTTTGTTCGGTGTTAAAAGTAATATTTAAAATTTATCAGTTAACTGTGTTATAACATTTATATACGTTTATTTAGTTTTTTATTCCACTAATAACAAAATTAAATAGATAAAAACAAAAGAAGCCTTTGATTTAACTAAATAACTTTAACATTTCATAACAGCCTGTCAACACTATGGTACTGAACCAGGAGTTTTATTTGCTATTGTGGCCACGTGTAGCAGGTGGTACTGCAGTCGCCAAACTGAAGTTTGTGTTATTTTTGAGTTGTTATGAAGATGTTGCTGCCCATCTCATGTTTTATTTCCCTCTGTACGACATTCACCGGATGATATGTATGTAGTAGGTTCTCTTACTTGGTGATTAGGGATATTATTTGCAATTCATGCTTGTCACTTAAAACATCAAGTGACATTTTTGTACTCATTATACTTTCATATCTCTCTTTTTACATGAAGGAACAAATAGAGATTGATTTAGAAAGAGACTGACAAATCATACAGTTAGAAATAATCCGTACTGAATTATTACATTACTTCTTATTTTTGTCAAACAGGGACAAAAGGCTATATCAAAATAAGCAAAACTGGTATTCGATTTGGCTCCTACACTTATTACTGCAGACGCGGCAACCGCCACCGAAAACGCTGGTACTGTAAACACAGGACCATTACTAAATGTTCAGCTTTACTTATCAGTATAGGAGACGATATTGTTGGAACACATGACGGGCATAACCATTAGAATAAATTATTTTTTGAGTCTCGCTACGTACATAACATATCTAAAAAAAAAAATCTAGTATGAAGACGTAAAGTGTCTTATAAAGGTGAACGCACATTTATCAGCACCGTACGCGCCGTACGCGCCGCATTTTACAATTCGTTGTACGAAATCATATGAAAACATTTCACCCGCAACGTACGCGCAGTATTTTATAAAATGCTGTGGATATTCGAATATTGAAGGAGGCATGCTGTCATGCATGAAGTCATCTTAATATAATGCAGCTCGTTTTACGCGTGCTGATATTGAGTGTTGGCTAATGTTGCTAACTTAGTTTATATTCCACTAAAACTGGTGGTCCCGAGTTTCAACTCCTTTTCTAGTGGAGAAATATTGTTTATAGCGGCTAATGTTTTTTCTAGTGGTTCAGTAGAATTAAGTTTTAATTAGTGGCAAGATGATTATTCCACCATTAACCCATTTAGATGTTTCGAAATATATTTTATTGCATTACAGAAGTATTTACTTTTGCTGTGAAGGCAACAATGATTTGTCAGACAAGACACGCAAATTCCTTTTGAAATGAATATTGTGAGTCCAGAATCTTCTTTTTTTTTAAATTTTATTTTCATTTTTCTCTGCAAATAAGCAGGCTATTACAACATTTTTTTCCATAGCTAAATCAATGCAACCATAGCTAATCAACGGTACAGCGTTTCACACTAGTGGTTAGAAAAAACTGCAAATTAGCAATAATAAAGATTTGTGTATTACGGCGCGTACGGCGCATACGTGCCAATGTGCGAGGCATCAGTAAATGCGGCGCGTACGGCGTGTACGGTGCTGATAATTGTGCGTTCACCCTTGTTTACGTCTTCATACTAGAAAATATTTCATTACTTGATTTTCAGTTTTTTTCATACAAATTCACGTTTCTTACTTGTTTTAATGTTTTAGTATTTAAGTGTTTCTTGTATAGTTTAATAGGTTTTATAATATTAAAAACGTAAAGCGTTTCAGTTTGGTTATTTATTTAATTTATTAGATTATATATTTTTATCGTCGTGGACTTTTATTTTTATAATATATACTTTTTTTTTAAATAAAATAGACTGAAAAATAAAATGTACTGCGAATAACTAAAATATTACATTCCTTTTACAACTAGATATGTGTACCTACCAAAAATTTAAGGACCTGCCAGGTTTTGACTATAAAGAGAATTTCACATGTTAAATGTGCGCAATGCACAGTTTATTTTCAGATGTTATCGTTAAATACTAATTAAATATTAATTATCTCGTAAATATTTTTTTTTCTTTAGCTAAGTGTAAAACTGTTCTTTACAGATTTCCATTTGATTCCTCTTCCTACTGGACGATACCTCCTTCGTATTGGTAACTACACTTACTCTACAAACTGCAGAGATATATCGTCTGTAAACTCAAGCTGGTACTGCTCTAAGAGGGTGAGTAAAAAGTGCCGAGCGCGCGTCAAAATGTACGCCCAGAAGACAACGCTTCTCATAGGCGAGCATACTCATAGCTACTGAAAGTACTACTAAGTATGTAGGCACAAATATAAGTGAGTGAATGAAATATAAATTTACTTTTGAGCTTCTGACAACAGTTTTTTTTAACGTCACGGTTAACAATCCTCAATATATTTGGAAAACATTGCTTTTAATTTTATATTCGTATGCCGGTTTCTTTATTGCCATCTAGGGGACACCTAGAGAACTCATTTCGTTCTCTGGGTGTCGATACTACGTCATGAGAAATACCAGGAAAATCTCATGGTATCCTAAAATGCCGCTGCATGGAGGTCGCCTGGAGGTCGTCTGGAGTTGGCGCTAGATGCGACAGCATGCGGACCGCCAGCTTAGCACGAGAGGCTGCAAGACTACCTAGCAGCCCCCGCATCCATCATACCCACCAGATGATTTGGTGTCTGCTGGATCTTCTTTGGCGCACGTAGCATGCGTTGCACGAACTGGAAGGTTGGCGTTACGACTTAGGGACCTTTAAGAAACGAGCTTACTCCTTTTTAAAAGGCCGGCAACGCACTTGCAATTCTCCTGGTGTCGCAGTTGTGTATATTTGCGGCGGTTGATACTTACCGCCAACACGAGCCGCATGCTCGTTTGAACTCTCTTCTATAAAATAGAAAAATAAAACTATATAAAACTATAAACTGATATTAATAATAAGTTACTTCGAAAAAGTTAAACATAGGCAATTTATATTAAAAAATTACTTTTTACTTTTTTTAAAGAAATGTTTTTTCAGGGGACTGATTTAAAACCCCAATAATTCCACGACATAATCGAGTTCTATGCCAAATTTCATTAGAGTTCGTGCAGCCGTTAACGTGTGATTGAAGGATAAAACTTAAAGAAATATAGTTTAACATTATTATATTACGTAATATAAAATTGAAGTGAAAGTAAAAACCTATAGATTGACGGCAGGCTATGTTATAAATCTATAACTTTTATATAACCATTTTATATATGAAGGAGACGTATGTTCAGCAGTGGATTCTCGATAGGCTGTCACAGTATTTTATAAATATATTTTATCTTAAATATTTTTTTTTAAATAATTTTTGTTATTTTTTAGATTATGAGCTTCTTCCTCTCAGTACTGGAAAATACCTGCTACGCATCGGGAACTTTACTTTTTCAACTAATTACAAAAGGCCGATTGGTGGGAGCGTCTGGTATTGCTCGAGAAGGAAACGAAAAAACTGCCGGGTGTCTGTCAAAATGCACGATGATGTGATTATAGATGTAGTTGGAAAGCACAACCACACATAATAGTGTATTGCCTTCATTTATATGCACATTTGGTTCTATCTACTGCTTTGTGAAAGCATTTTTTAATAGAGTTAAAAAAAGGGAAAATACTCAAATATGTTTTTGTATGTGTTTTACGCGATATCTTCGTCGATTGTTAACCGACCTTAATTTTATTTTCATTAAATAGGTTATACTTATGTGGTCCCGTATAAATTTGAAGAAAAAATTCTATCCTAAAGATACACTCATTACAACATTCTATAAAATGACTGTAACTGTTTCTGAAAATTGCTTAATTTTATATTAATTAATATTATGCAACTTCGTGCGTCTAGTGCACACCGTAACGTCTGCCATGAACGGACCGAGGCGACGGAGCGAATTCACAATAAAAATAATATTATTAGGGCTGTTACTGATACGATTCGGGCATAGTTATATTAGGGTCCACTCAAAGGGGTCAAAAATATAACCGTCTTCAAAAAAAAATTTTCTATAATGTGTTCTATTTTATTTATCTATTGGAAATTATTTCATTCTTTTAAGTTCATTAGAGTCCATACAGCCCGTGGTAAAATCCGATTTCAAAAAACTAGAAAGCATTAAATAATTTCCATATAATAACTTATGATAGGCTTTAATTCGTCTATACCCTACGACTAGTCTTATCACTGATTTCAGAAGCTATTATGTGGAAATGATTTTAACCGACTTCAAAAAAGAGGAGGTTCTCAATTCGAGTGTATGTTTTTTTGTATGTATGTTACGCTATATCTTCGCAGATTGTGAACCGATTTTGATTATTCTTTTTTATTAAAAAAGGTTCAAGGGTGGTCCCATATAGATTTGGAGAAAAAATTTCACCACTAAGGGTGGCAAATAAATAACTTCTTTTTGAGCGAATTGAAGTCGGTTTTTACGTTGTGTTAAAAGTTATAATTATACTCTGTAAAGTTCTTTGAATGTTTCAAAATATCAATTCTAGACTGCGGTTTTCTAAGGACACAGGTAGAAATTCATGGTAGTTAGTAATCATTAGTGACAAGTTAATTTGTAAATTTGCATAATGACCTTGAATCCCTGAATAACATTACTTTATTGATCTACAAATAAAAAGAATAGATAGAAAAGAATAGAGCTAAATTTAACCTGTTGAATCTTCTTTAGATAATTTATAGAATCGGGCATTACTTTGTGGAAATCAATTATATTAGAGATATTAAAAATTCATTAGCTAAGATCAGCGTAATAAAATATAATGATACGTCTTGCATAGTTTGAAGAGCACCTCCCGTCCTCCCTCAGTTACGTGCACTACTACTAATTGGTGACGGGGATAGTGCACGTAATTACCAACATTCCCCCAACACTACTACTCCTAACACCACTATACCAGTAAAGACACACCAGCGTCGAAAATAAGATAACGTCTTTCACCTCTAAACGAGACAACCTCAGGTGAAATAGACTCTGCAGTGTCTGACCCTCATCAAACTAAGTAAGACACATCAATTTATTTTTATACGCGTATTTAGGTTATTAATTTTTAACCTCTTTAATAATTCATCTTTGATTTAGAGGTAGGCCCTCTCCACTCTCTCTCTCTCTCTCGCTCTCGCTCTCTTTTGTACTCGTGCATCTTCTACTTGAACTTCTAATGTGCTTTATTTATGATGATCACTTTAACTAAAAGTTTCTGTCGTATCATTTGGGTTAATAATGTCGCTTACGAATAAATAAGGTAAAGGAAGACAAAATTATACACGTTTATTTTATTCCAGAACGACTTATTCTATTACCAACCAAGAGCGGTAATTACAAGCTGCTATACGGTGACCACACGTTCTGGTGCAACTGGTATAAATCGAATCCCAACGAATACAAGGCATCGCGTGTCTGGTATTGCTCCAAACGCAGCGGGAGGAGGTGTAAAGTGTATTTGAAGACCGTAAATGGGAAATTGATGTTTATGCACGGTATACATAATCATTAAGTTGGTACAAATTTGTTGCTCTTTAAGAATAATAATAACACAATAATTCCAATATAATTTCTTTAATAATATGAATCTTTGAAGCTATTTTATTAACTGTATATAGTAGCTTGTGTATACAGTAAACCTAAAATACAAATATTTCATTTCTGTTACGCTTTCGCTATAGCAATGCTATCGAATAAAAAACTTTCACGGATTTTATTGCATTTAATTTTACTTATT